CCTGCACTGGCAGGCGGATTCCTAACCACTGCACCACCAAGGAAGTTCTATTACAAGATTTTGTGTTATACAATAAATCCTTGCTGTTTACTTTATTTACAGTAGTTTGTATCTGTTAATCCCATACTCCTAATACCTCCCCCCATTTCCCCTTTGATAACCATAAGTTTGTTTGTGAGTCTGTCTGTTTTGTACATAGATTCATTTGTATTATTTTTTAGATTCCACATATTAGTGATATCACACAATACTTGCCTCTGTCGGACTTACTTCACTTAGTATGATATACTCTAGGTCCATCCATGCTGCTACAAAAGGCAGTATTTCATTCTTTTTTTATAGCTGAGTAATATTCTATTGTATATATACTACATTTTCTTAAACCAATTGTCTGTTGATGGGCACTTAGGTTGCTTCCTTGTCTTGGTTATTGTGAATAGTGCTGCTATGAACACTGGGATACATGTATCTTCTTGAATTAAGAAGATTAAATTAATTTCGTCTTTTCCGGATATATGCCCAGGAGTGGGATTGCTGGATCATACGATAGTTCTATTTTGTTTTTAAGGAACCTCCACACTGTTTTCCGTAGTGGCTGCACCAATTTATATTCTCACCAACAGTGTAGAAGCTTTCACTTTTCTTCACACCCTCTCCAGCATTTATTACTTGTAGACTTTTTGATGATAGCCATTCTGACTGGTGTGAGGTGATACCTCATTGTGGTTTTGATTTGCATTTCTCTAAAATTAGCAATGTTGAGCATCTTCTCATGTGCCTATTGGCCATCTGGATGTCTTCTTTGGAGAAATGTCTACTTAGGTCTTTTGGCCTTTTTTTTGAGTTGTATGAGCTGTTTATGTATTTTGGAAATTAACACCTTGTCAGTTGTATCGTTTGCAAATATTTTCTCCATTCTGTAGGTTGTCTTGTCATTTTATTGATGGTTTCCTTTGCTGTGTAAAAACTCTTAAGTTTGATTAGGTCCCATTTGTTTATTTTTGCTTTTATTTCTACTGCCTTGGGAGACTGATCTAAGAAAATATTGCTACGATTTATGTCCCAGAATGTTTTGCCTGTGTTCTTTTCTAGGAATTTTATGGTGTCATGTCTTGTATTTAGGTCTTAAAACCATTTTATTTTTGTATATGGTGTGAGGGAGTTTTCTAATTTCACTGATTTATGTGTAGCTGTCCAGCTTTCCCAACACCACTTGCTAAAGAGACTGTTTTCTCTCCATTGTATATTCTTGCCTCCTTTGTTGTAGATTAATTGGCCATAGGTGTGTGAGTTTATTTCTGGGCTCTTATTCTGTTCCATTGACCCATGTGTCTGTTTTTGTGCCAATACCATGCTGTTTTGATTACTGTAGCTTTGTAGTATAGTCTGAAGTCTGGGAGAACTATGCCTCCAGCTTTGTTCTTTTTGCTCAGGATTGCTTTGGCAATTCTGGGTCTTCCTTGTTTCCACATAAATCTTACGATTACTGGTTCTATGTGAAACATGTCCTGGGTATTTTGATAGGGATCGCATTAAATCTGTAGAGTGCTTTGGGTAGTATGGCCATTTTAACAATATTAATTCTCCCACTCAAAGAGCATGGGATATCCTTCCATTTCTTTGAATCATCTTAAATTTCTTTTATCAATGTTTTGTAGTTTTCAGTGTATAAGTCTTTCACCTCCTTGGTTAAGTTTATTCCTAAGTATTTTTTTGATGTAATTTTAAACAGGATTTTTTTTTAAACTTTCTCTTTCTGATATTTCATTGTTAGTACAAAGAAATGCAACAGATTTCTGTATATTAATCATGTATCCTGCTACCTTCCTGAATTCATTTATTAGTTCTACTAGTTTTTATGTGGAGTTTTTAGGGTTCTCTATATAGAGTATCACATCATGCAGATTGATTTTGTTTGGCCATTTTGGAAAAACAGTTTGGAAGCTTCTTAAAAAGTTAAGCATATACCTAAACCTATGACTCAGTCATTCCCTCCTTGGTATTTACCAAACAGAAATAATGTATATGTCTGTCCATAAAAATCTGTATGCAACTGTTCATAGTAACTTTGGTTGTAGTAGCCAAAAAAGGAAAATAACCCAAATGTACATTAACAGGTAAATGTATTAACAAATTGTGATTATACACATATAATAGAGTGCTACTCATCAATAAAAAGAAATGAACTATTGATACATGCAATGCAGATGGATCTCAAAGTAACAAAACTGAGTGAAAGAAGCCAGAAAAAAAAGTACTTACTATGTGACTTCATGTATATAAAATTCTAGAAAATTCAAACTAATCTAAAGTGACAGTAACAGATTAGTGGTTGCCTTGGGAAGGGGGAGGGGAACAGAGAGGCAGGAGGGAGGGATTACAAAGGAGCAAGAGGAAACTTCTTGGGGTTATGGATGTATTCACTATCTTGATTGTGGCAATGGTTTCATGGATGCATACATGTCAAAACGATCAAATTGTATTATTTAAATATGCATAGTTTACTGTATGTATATTATACCTCAATAAATTTGTTAAGAAAACTAAAAATTTACACATGGCAAACACACACATAATGTGCTTACTATCATTAGTTAATAAGGAAATATAAATTAAAACCACACAGAGATCTAATATAGTTACTGGGGAAAGCATAAAGGTTGTTTAATATGCTTTCCTATTAGCATCAAAAATTCACCTGGTTTAGAAATAACATGAACTCATAATTATTATAGGAAAAGGTCATATTCTGTTTTATTACAATGTTTTGGTGCCATCCTGTCCAGCTCCAGCAGTCATGTGGAAACAGTCTGACATGTCCCTTTAGCAACCTAGGTTTTTCCTAGGTTGGTCTCCATTAAGGCAAAAGTAACTGGTGAGCAATGTATTCCATGTTTGAGAAAGAATAACTCAACCTGAGTTTTAGGTTACCTTAACTATTATCACAAAGAATGTTTTCAGCCGTTCCTTGTAGGGGGTGGTGTTAAAAAAGATGAAGGGATAGATCTGACAAGAGGGCTACTCTAGGCACAAGTATTATAGAAACAATCTAAGTATCAACTGGAAATGATTACACACCCACCAAAAATACTAAGATAAAAAAGACAAACACAAATGTTGGAGAAAATGTGGAGTAACGGTAAGTCCCCATTGTTGAAGGAACGTAAAATGGTACAATCCTTTGGAAGAAAGGTCTGGCAGTTTTTTATGAAACTAAACATACACCTACCTTAGGACCCAATGATTCCACCCTTAGATGTTTACTCAAGAGGAATAAAGACATGTGTTCATAAAAAAAATTGTATAAGAATGTTCATAGCAGCTTTATTTATAACAGCAAAAAAAAAAAAGAAAGAAAACTGGAAACAGCCCATGTGTCCATCAACAGGAAAATGGAAAACAACAAACTGACATATTCATACAAGAGAATATTCAGCAATAAAAAGGAATGAACCACTGATACAGGCAACATGAATTAATCTCAATAACATGCTGAGTGAAAGAGGCATTATGCTTTGCATGATTTCATTTATATGAAGTTTTAGAATAGAAAAATTTAATCTGTGAGGCAAAATAATCAGAACAGTAGTTACATCTGAGAGTTGGGGTAGGGAATGACTGGGAAGGGGCATGAGGAAACTTTCTGGCATAATTGCAATGTTCTAAATTTTGAAAAGGGTTTGGGTTACACAGGTGTATGGATTTGGGAAAAATTAGCAAATTTATACTTAACATTTGTGCATTACACTGCATGTGAATGTACCTTAAAAATGAAACCATACTAAACCCTACTTAATGATATGCCTTTTGAAGTATTAGGAGGATATATACTGATGTCTGCAATTTATTTTGAAAAGCATCATAAAAATAACATGGATGGATAAGTAATAAAACATGTAGAATAAAATGTAGAATCCATGTGGTTGGTATTTGGGTATTTACTGTAAAATTCTCTCAATTCTGCTGTATGTTTGAAAATTTTTATAATAAAACAATTAGGAAAAGCCAGTTGGTCTTATCTTTCTATTATCTGTCCTTGGCCTGAAATAAATTATTCTTTCTATAGGATAGAGACTCTATAGAAACACAGGGACCGGAAATTAGCCCTGCATAATCCCTGGGATTCTAAAAGGTAAGTAATACATGTAAACATTGTAAGAAAGGTAAGAAAACATATTAATTATTGAAAAGAAAATCAAGTTACATTAAGAGTAATTACTAATACTGGTGTTTATTATCACCACAAACAAGATCAGAGTACCATTTTTTTGTATCTTTTTAAAAACTGACTTTTTTCAGCCATTGCATGAAGAGCCATCTTTTTTTTTTTTTTTTTTTTTTTTTTTTTTGCGGTACGCGGGCCTCTCACTGCTGTGGCCTCTCCCGCCGCGGAGAACAGGCTCTGGACGCGCAGGCTCAGCGGCCATGGCCCACGGGCCCAGCCACTCCGCGGCACGTGGGATCCTCCCGGACAGGGGCACAAACCCGTGTCCCCTGCACTGGCAGGCGGACTCTCAAACTCTCAACCACTGCGCCACCAGGGAAGCCCAAGAGCCATCTTTTATGTCAAGTTATATACATGAATAGGCCAATTGTGTCTCATCCAAAATTTGTCCAAAATTCGGATATCTAATCATTTTTTAAAAAGACTTTTAAGCATTTTCGTATATACCCAATGTTATCATTGTTAATATGCTACATATGGGATAAAATAACATCCTTTGCCTTTTGAGAGCTTTAGAGGAAATCTGGCATAAGTTTGTGTCAAACAAATCTGAATGTGTTTCCCATCTCTGCACTTATTAGTTGTAGGCCCTTGGGCAAATTAACTTCTGTAAGCCTCACTTTCCTCATTTTACAAATGAGGAAGAAAAATGGTAGTTCATACCTCATACGGTTATTTTGAATGTTAAGTGAGACAATTCATTTTACATGTATCACAGATAGATTGGCAGATAGAAAGCACTCAATAAATATGCTATCATTAAGAAAAAAGTGTGTACAAGAAACAAAACATTCAATTGATGGAAAAATGTGGAACAAAACCTTAGTTTATTTAAATAGAACAGTATCATCTCCTCACAAGGTAGTTCAAATAGCAACTACAATAGGATTTGTTTTGTTTTCTCTCTGAGTTGCGAGAAATGTTTTAGAAAGTCAAAGAACAATAATCTTGCTGCACTGATACTGTGAGAATTCAGACCCTTAGATCAAAGAGAGAAATGCAGAAATATACCTCTCATCAGCTTAATATCTGGACCATCTAAAAGAAGCTACCCTGTTTCACCCAATCTTGCATTAAACATTCAGAAATGTCACCCATATTGTTTTATGCCTGCCCCTAGCACCTGTTAAGTAGGCTGGCACATAGTTGAAGCCTCTAAAATAGTCAGATAGAGAGGAGGGTTAAGGAAGGGCAGGAGGATATTAACTACCACTTCCCTCTGCCCTCAGGAGAACAGCAGTCTCATGTCTGGCAGGCGGCGGAATGAGCAGCTGCTGCCACTGTAGGGAGCTGGGAAGCCAATAATTTTGGGGGAATCATGCTCTATTGTTTCCTGCTATGTCTGTTACCTGTGCATTTACCACATTCTTTGCTATCTTCTTTATCTTTTGGCACCCTTTTTATTAACCTTCTTGTTAACAATCATGCAGTCCACATTCCCACATGGTGTTACAACTGGCTGAAACTAAGCAGTAGCAGCTTAATTAACTAAGCAGTAGCAGCTTGTCCCTTTAGTTGGGGCATAGCTCTCCTATTTGTTACACTGTCCACAACTCCCTATTGTCTTTCACACTAGGTGCATTTCCTGCCTGGCCCATATGGCATGTGGATCCAGGTCTAGTTTGATTTGGGCAGCAGTGAGACAATAGGCGTTTCTTAGTGCTCAGTTCCTGTCTTGACTGGAAGTATTCCACCCAACCCTGCCCCCACCAAAAAAGCAGCCAAGAATCTCAGATAGTTCTCAGATGCCTTTCTGAACAGATGAGTTCCTTCATAAAAAGAAGGCAATGACTTAGAGAAAGGTAAACTCAACAAGCCTGCTTTTTAAAAAAAAATCTGACAGAATTGAAGTTTTAAGACATCCTTTTCTGAAACACTTTTGGAAATGGAGAGCAGGCTTTCTGCCTTTACATAGCACTGCATTTGCTTTGAAACCCACCATACTGGTTTCTTTTCTTTTCTCTGATATTTATCTATTTCCTCTTATCGAACCTGTTTCAAGGTATAAATTCACTGGGCAGGACTATTTAGATATAGCTCATGTCTAGTTGGAAGTCTGGGGCAATATCTAGCACATCATAACTATTCAGCTATACATAACTGTGCTTTGTAATCACAATCATGTCTCCAAAATACTCTGACTTCAAATATTATATTACATAGTACTATTAAATATGCATAAAACAAGAATGGATTTTTCAACTTGTAGATATAAAAGTATTAGAATTTAATATATGAAGATAGTTTTATCATCTTGCTCATGAGGTAATCAATCACTTTTACTTTCCCAAGTGCTTATTATACATAAGTGCAGATTCAGAAAGATTTATTTTTAGCCAACATATAAATATTTTCCCTTATTCTAAAATGTTAGCAATCTTCTTTTCTATTGCACAAAAGACAGTTTTAGGCTTTATTTTTTTTTAATTTATGGACTCTGCTACTAATTTCTAGACTTTTGGAATAGCTAACGCCTTTCTCTCACCAGCCCTGTTGATCATAATTAGCCTGAAATTTATCTGCAAACTTCAAGGGCAGAACAGGGCAGAATTCACATTGTTCTTAACGTGGCATAAGGCCAAAACTGAAGGAAAAACTGGAGGATTTTGATGTAAATCATCCAAGCTAATATCCCATATTTTAATTTTAAATTTGAATCAGCAATGATTTTTACTGCTGTCTCCTCCCCTTCTATTTTTACTAGTTATTCTTTTGAGCCTGAATCAGAGAAATGTGCTAAACATATGTATTGCAAGCAACTGGATTTTTCAAACAGGAACCACAAAGAAACATTTTCCTCCCTTTACTTGGGTTGCTTTTATTTAACATTCTGAAGAATGATTATCTGAGTTCAAGGATCATATTTTGATCAGTTCTAACAAAGAAGAAAAAATACTCATCTCACAGCTAAGATAGAGCCAAAACCTTTTTCTAGTTGCCAGTCAGTTTCCAAGCTAGTAAGAACTCCTGGGACTTTATCTACTCTTCTACAGGGAGCAGAGCTGGTACAACCCAGGATACCTTTATCTTATTGCCTAGGTATGAAAATATTGCCTAAGCAGAACTGGAAGACTCACCAAATAAATAGAAGAGTGAAATGAATACAACATTCTTAGATGTATTAACAGCTAAACAGCCTACATATGAGAAAAAAAATTTCACTTACAGTTTGCTTGAAATCTTTTACATTAGCCTAATAGAAACACAATAGAAACACAATAGAAAATAGAAAAAACCAATGGGAACATCAAACCAAGAGAATAAAATCATGGAAGAAAAGATATTGGGGAACTACAGCCAATTCCTGATACTATATACAAACACAAAACATATATACATATACATTTTTTTTTAACTGTGATGACACATTTTTGGCTCAAAGTATTATTTCATATTATAGATCTCATTTTCCATCCTTAAACAAAGTTTGGGTGAGAGGATACAGGATTTCTTGATTTCTTTCTGTATCTTTTGTATCTTTCTTTTTATCTCTCACCCTTAGTTTTACTAATCAAAATCCCAGGCCATCCTTTAACAACCACGTTAAACACCTACTCATCAATGACCCTCTCCCAATAATTAGAATTAACCTTTTTCTCTGCTCTTCAATGTTTTATATTTGCATCACCACCCGCCTAAAAACTGCAAAATGTTAGACTTCTTGGGATGTCACTGTAAAAAATCTCTACATAAAATGAAGTACTCACCACCTTGTATGGCAAGAGTTTAAAAAAGAAGTCACAGTCATCTGAAGTCAACACAAGACCTTTTCTGGAAAATACTGGAGAATATGCTATGCAGATAATAAAAAGGAGGACTGGACGTGGCTGCTGGGGTGTTTGGCTAGAAGTCTCAGAAGTTACATCTCAAAATTTAAAATTATTGCAATCTTTTTTACAACTTCTGTTTGTGGTTTCTTCTTCTTCCCCAGGGTCACATACCATCTGGTAAACATAGCAGCTGAAGACCCTGCTGGGTTTCTGTTCTATGTGTAGTACCAAGTCTCTGTCAAAGTAAACTTCGTGGCTATATGTCTGTAACGAAAACAAAGGCAAATGGAATCTCCTCTTCACATAATCATATTCACTGCTGAGTCATTAAAATGTCACAGCGTCTATGCTAGGGATGTTCAAATATATACTTGGAGGCAAAATAGCTGCCAGAAATAGTTTATTTTTCATTATTTGTGGATATGCAGATGACTTATGAGAAAAGCATTACACAAAATGTTGAGAATGAAAAGAACCCTGGACTTAGGAGTCTGAACACCCAGATTCTATTGCCAACATTGCCACTATTTCACTTGTGACCGTGGGCAAGTTGCTGAATCTTTCAGGTTCTCCATTGATAAAACAATGATTGGGTAAAGTAACATCTACTGTTCTTTATAACTTTTATATTCTATAATACTTAGAAGAGCAGACAAACGCTTCTAAGAGTGCTTGAAAACCCTACACGCTTAGATTTGTCTCTATTAAATAACTGTGGGGATTTGATACAGTATATTTTTATTTTTTAAAACATTACCAAACTTATAAAATAGGAGAAAACTAGACTATGGTAAGGAAATAGACAGCATGTCTCATGAAAAAAGCATAAAACTTTATCTTTAAAGCCATTGGTAAGGAGAAATTCTCAACCCTAGAGGAGAAAGTCTAAGGAAGTACTCATTTTGTCCTGCATGTAGGATGATAACCTCTTCCATGTGGTCACTGGTATAGGTGAACCTGGACTGACGTGAACACAGTAACATCTGTTCCAATAAATGTCACCTATAAAGGAAACTCTTACAACTTTGTATTCCATGGACTCTACTCACCACATCCCATGACTCCACGAGTGGAATGCTTTTAAGTAAAGTTCCATATTCATTACAGTGGAAATCCAGGTGAGCTTTTCCTTCAGCATCTATTTGAGTAACAGCTACCACAGAAAGCAAATCTAACTCATCTTCATAGTCCACAATTTTGAAAGTCTTGGGGAATAGATAAGGCAAAAGAAAAGAGGGGCAAAATCCAGTTAGGATTATTTCTACGTTTGTGGCTTAACTACTATTTATAAAAATATGTAGAAAGAAAAATGAATGGGTAGGAGCATAGATAGAAATGTGTTTCCACTTATCTGCCTAGTAAAATATCAGTCTCAAGATTTTTAGGACTCAAGAAGTATCCTACAGATTTTGATGAACACAACCAAGTCTATGTAGATCTCAGCCAAAGTATAACTGAAATCCTCTATTATGACAGCAAGCCAGAGTGTCTCCAAATTTGAAAGAGGTATTCAACTGCTGACACTGATAGGTGTGTTCACTGGTTTCCACATAGGACTAAATATATAAAACTCAGTTCTAAAACTTGAAGACTTCCCACTGTGCTCGGAAGGTTCTCATACCAGAAAAACACAAGTCATTTCAAGAAGAACTGATAGCCCATCATATACTATTTATGACCCTATTTGCCATCCTTTTTAAAAAAAACCCTTTCTTAGGGAATTCCCTGGTGTTCCAGTGGTTAGGACTACACGCTTTCCATCCCTGGTCGGGGAATTAAGATCCTGCAAGCAAAAATGGCTGCTTATACTTGAGGGAGAATATTAGGAACAGAAATCCAACCCACAGAACAGGACTGGGATAAGAGACGTTAGTTAGAAATGATTAATGATGGTAAAGACATTAAGAGAGAAAAATCTAACCCCAGAACTCTGTCTCAAGGACGAAAACCTGGGACTCCAACAGTCTCATGGGGAAGCAGATCTATGCTCACCCATCCAGGGATGGCACATCTTGACAGGCACAGCAAGTTTCTCTTAATCACCAAATACTAAACCTTCACTCACATTTGGTCAAACTGCTTTTTAACCCATTTACATTTTCTGCCTTTACCACCTATGACATAAAAATTTACGTAGATTTATTACCAGTGATTCCTTTTAATTTACTTTTTGCCGTAATCTTACCTTGGGCAAACTTCAAAAGGTGACTTCTTGCCTGAGTGTCAGTAATTTTATAGATTTTAGTCACAACCCCTTTCAACTTTTCCTTTACAGGTGAAAAGTTTTTGTTTTCTAATCTCACAATGCAAAGTATCTTTCTCTTTGCTACTACCTTCTCCCTTCTTAAGTATTCTTGCCACTTTTTGGTAACTTTGGCATTTTTTTTTTGGTATTTTTTTTTTGAATACAGTTTTACCTACAGGGTAGGAAGCTTTCTGCTTTGTTCTCGATGGTTCAAAAGAATAAATATATATTTGGTTCAAAAGAATATATATTTTTTCTTTTTTGAGAGTAGCCACATACTGTGCCACCTCCAACCTATTTTAAAAGATTTTCAAAAACTATCCTTAGGGCTTCCCTGGTGGCGCAGTGGTTGAGAGTCCGCCTACCGATGCAGGGGACACGGGTTTGTGCCCCGGTCCAGGAAGATCCCACATGCTGCAGAGCGGCTAGGCCTGTGAGCCATAGCCACTGAGCCTGCACGTCCGGAGCCTGTGCTCCATGACGGGAGAAGCCACAACAGTGAGAAGCCCGCGTATTGCCAAAAAAAAAAAAAAAAAAACTATCCTTAGAGATCTACTCAATATTTCTACTTAGAAATGGTCATATGAACTATATAGTTATAGAGTCTAAAGGGATTCAGTATTTACGCAAAGGCTATATATTTGAAGTATGAACACTTTGAGTTGATTTCATAAGTAATTCCAGTGCTTTTTCTTTTTTAAGAAAAGGATAAAAATGTATTAGCTTAGTGACTGGCAATGTCAAGTTGAGGCCAAAGGCTGAACTGATTTACCACACCCTTACACACTCCTCCTCTGGCTCATGAACATTAACAAATACATCTATGTCTAGTAAGTGAAAAACAAGGCAAAAGCCATAGTCATCAAGATGTAACTCAATAATTTTCTATTAAGAGATTTCCCTAGGAAGTGTGCATATCAACAAAACAATAAGCTAATAATAGTGTTTTCAAATTATTTCGGTCCTATGAAATCTTCTGCAAACAAAATCTTAAGAATAATTCCAATATTAAAAGAGAGGAGACAGAGACACATCGGTTCAAATAGCACACACAATCCTGCAGACTAAGGTTGCATGGAGCTCCCCAACCTCTACCCCAGGGCAAGTTCATACAAGCTTAGTTTATTATTTCTGGCTAAAGTAATACCTCTTGTTCTGGGTCATCATCCAGAAGGTTAAAGCTTTTTTTTACCACCCGTCCAGAAGCTGTAACAGTGGGTAAGTTTTCATTCTATCATATGGAGAGAAATAAAAATATATGACAAGTCCTATTATGTAGTCAATGGCAAAACTGTATTAACGAATTTGTTAACTAACCAACCCTTCTCTAACATCCACAATTCTTTCCTCAACTGAGAAAATTCTGAACCAGATTTTGGATCCTCCAATTAATAAAAATACTTTATTAAAGTTTTTAATGGATAAAATACCAAACTAGAAATACAAAGGTTACAGATTTGTTACTTCACCTGCCCTTCTGATTTCTGCCTTAGTATAGTATAGCAAATAAAGAGTCGATCTGCTTTTGGAAATTTCCCTCTGCATGATTTTCTTCAGGCTCTTAATTTGTATGCTAAAGACAAAGAACCATTTGGAGTCAAAGAATGGTGTGTAATTTTTTAAAGTTTATATCTAACCTTTCTTACCCTAAGTGTGCACAATTAATTAAACCCAAAGGTTGATAATTCATCAATAAAAACTTAAAGAGAAACCCAGAAAGGAAACAGAAATAAGCAAAAGATAAAGTCAATATAATCAGCTCTCTTCAAATCTCATAGATATTATACATGGGGCTAAGACTAGCTACCCATGTAGACAAAATGAACAGACTTTTATAGAACTGTGCTTTTCTTTTCTGCCACACTAAAAGAGAAATACATTTGCATATTATATTCTTATATAGAAAGACAGTGATATACAAAGGATTTTAAAGTACTCCTGACTTACTTTGTTCTTCTCCCTGTTGGCCAAAATGACAAAATCTTCAGAGATCTGATGCTGGGCACTATTATTTTCTACTTCACTTAGCTTTAAAACTCTGAAAAGGTAAAAAGGATTCTAAGAACCTAAGATCTTAACACACCATCAAAATGTCAAAGTTGAACTAATGAAAAGAAACTTAACAAATGAAAATTATGGTAACAACACTGAGTTAGTTCTCTTCTCCTCCTGATTAGTCCAAAATATTAATGTCTGATAACTTAAGTGTCCATAAATTTCTTCAAATTTAGAGATTCTGTTAAACAGAAAAACAGGATATGTGACAACAGGTGCTACTGAAGTAGGTAATGCAGCAGCTTGCTGAGGCTTACACTATCTTCCAAACTGGCTTAATGAAAGTTACTCTAAAGAACCTCCTCTCTACCATCCTGCAACAGGTCTTCAACATTTCAGCTTTAACAATGGCATTATAGTAGATATTTACATTTTTATTTCTGAAGATAGAATGAGGTATCAATGAACAACACTCAGAGTTAAATATAATATAGACTGGACTGGCAACTAAGTTCTAAACCGAGAGTTTTCATAGTAGAGTAGTATTTTAAAACTGCAAATGACTTAATTCTTTTCTTTTTTCTTAAGGTTATATTTAAAGATTTGAGTTTTCTGAGTGCAAATGACCTCACGGATCGAGCTTATTAAGCAAGTGAAAGTAAAAGAATATTCTCACCACCTACACAAATCTGTTCACAGCATTAACAAGCATCAAAAGCACAATGTCCTCAAAGCTTAAAGTCTCAAATGCAGGCAAAGAGAACAGCAGGGAGAAGCAGCCACTGTGGCCAGAGAGAGCTGGAGGCCTTAGAGTTTGCCAGAGACAAAGAAATCAGATTACATTTTAAATTCCTTAATTAGTTATCTTAATTAGTGCCAATATTTAAGAGTGCCTATCTTTTAAAACCTAGCAAAAGGGCACACACTCTTTGTGGACCTTATTTTCTTAAACTCAAACTAATATAAAAGATGTGTGGTAACAAACATTAAGAGTAAGGTTTATTGGGCTTCCCTGGTGGCGCAGTGGTTGAGAGTCTGCCTGACGATGCAGGGGACATGGGTTCATGCCCCGATCCGGGAGGATCCTACATGCCGCGGAGTGGCTGGGCCCGTGAGCCATGGTCGCTGAGCCTGCGCGTCCGGAGCCTGTGCTCCGCAACGGGAGAGGCCCGCGTACCGCAAAAAAAAAAAAAAGAGTAAGGTTTATTAAAGCTGACCATACTTTTTATGACTTTTTATAAAAGTTCATAATCTTTTTTCATTAAGTCCCTTCATCCTCCTTATAACTGATTCAGAGTAGACGAATTATCATGAAGCATACAAAATAAAGAATGCAGACACTACTCCTCTTATTCAACAAATACTTACTGAGCACCTACTCTGTATTAAGACCTATGCTCAGTGCCAGGGTTACAGGTGTCAACAAGATAGACTCTTTCCCTATCATGGAGCTCATGATTCCCAACCTAGATATTCAAACAGATAATCATACAAATAATTAATTTAAATTGCTGTAGGTGCTACAGAAGATTATATAGTGGGTAGAGTGAAAATATGATGGGGCAGCTAATCTAATGAAGGGTGCCAGGGAAGCACTCTTTGAAAAAGGGACATTTAAGGGGGCATAAAATATGAATAGAAATTAGGCAAAACAGGTAGGGGAAACAGACTTCAAATAGAGGGAACAGGTCCTTAGCTTTGTGAAAAGACAGCATGACTGAAGTAAACTGAGTGGGAAGAATCTTTTAGACCAGCTAAGTATGTTGGTCTTTATCTTAAGCGCAATAGGAGGTCATAAAAAGGTTAAAACAGAATTCACTTGGTTAGGTTTTTGTGTTTGTTAATGTTTCTAAAAATCACTCTAGCTGCTGAGAAGAAAACAGACTTAAAGAGTAAAAAGTAGATCCTTGGGAGTCCGGTAAGAAGGCAAATATTATAGTCTAGGCTAGTGATGACAATGATCTGACCAAGGTGGTGACAGTGGCCAAGGGCAGAAAGAGGCAGATTTAAGAAATGTTTAGTAGCAAAATAAACTGGATTGATGGGATATATGGTGCGTGTGTATGTGTGTGTGTGTGTGTGTGTGTGTGTGTGTGTGTGTGTGTGTGTGTGTGTGTGTGTGTGTGTGTGTGTGTGTGAGAGAGAGAGACAGAGAGAGAGAGGGAGAGAGAAAATGCAAGTGAGTGTTTAAGTACACGTATACTGATGAAAGACAAGAAGGTAAGAAAGTGTCAACAATGATTCCAGACTTATGACATAAACTTAGATGAGAGGTTTGTGCTAAGAGAAATTGTGGAGTTTTGGTGTATACAGGATCTTTAAAGCCAAGGGAATAAACAGGAGAATCAAGCAGAAAGGGAACGAAGAGTGAGAAAAGAGGGTCTAAGTCCTGAGGACTTAAAGTCTGAGTAGAAGATAAAGAACGTGGGCTTCCCTGGTGGCACAGTGGTTGAGAGTCCGCCTGCCGATGCAGGGGACGCGGGTTCGTGCCCCGGTCCGGGAAGATCCCACATGCCGCAGAGTGGCTGGGCCCGTGAGCCATGGCCGCTGAGCCTGTGCTCCACAACGGGAGAGGCCACAACAGTGAGAGGCCCGCGTACAGCAAAAAAAAAAAAAAAAAAAAGAAGATAAAGAACGTGAATGGATACTAAGACAGACAGATCAGAGAGGGAAGAAAATATTCAGGAGCACTGTGGTGTCAGGGAAGCCAAATGAAGAGTGTTTCAGGGAAGGAGAGGTCAACTGTGTGGAAGATGTGGGTAAACTAAATACAACAAGATTTACTTCAAACAACCTGCTGCTTCTCCAGCAGTAAGGCTGTCTTTTAGAACAAAGATAAATCATCTCTCTCATTAATCCTGGAGAATGAATTAAGACCTGATGAGGATGAACCAATATGTAATCTTTTCCTCACATGTCATCTATCATCCAACAAAGAACTTACTCAAATGTAATATTTACAAACAGTAATGATGAGGTTGAAAGAATAAAGTCAGGTTTTCTAGATGCCATTCTCTGAGGAAGCACCCTACAAAAAGTTAATTATTTCCACAATTTGCTCAGTAGTTAGCTGGCAAAAATAAAGATGCCAATAAATACTACCAAAGGCTACTTTTAACTTTAAAGTAACTAAGGAAAATACTCACTTGACCTGATTTGGGCCAACATGTATTATTCTACCAGAAGCATCAGGATGGAAATAGATCCAGTCAGATTCTAGAGAACAACACTCCATTTCTTGGACCCCGTTTTTTGCCTGAAATTGGAACAAAATATTGAAAATAAAAATTAAGGAAAAATAAAATAATTTTTCCAATCCAGCATCAGTGATAGATCAGTAAGTCAAAAGTAAAGGAAGAGAAAACATTAACCAGCTGAACTGGGATGTGTATTAGGGCTGAATTAGGACACTCAAACTTGAGAAATCCAGAACATTTAAATTCAGAAATTTCATAGATGCACCATGCACTATATATTATAGCTCACAAATAATAAGTTACCATATCTCAAGCACCTAATGTATGTCTGGCACTGCATTAGATGTTTTATACTCATTATTTCTTTTGATCTCAGCAATACTTGAAGCATATATTGCTATCCCCATCTTATGGATGAGGAAACTGATGCACAAAGAGGATATATCATTTGCTTAGTATTCAGCACCTACTAAACAGCAGATTAGACTCCAAAGTCCATGGATTTTCCATTATTTAACTCTGCCATAATTATGTACATGCAGTCCCCCACAACATCCTTCTCCCTTCCCTATCCTCAACAAACTGTCAATCAGAAGAGTAGATAGCACAAAAATAAACATGCAACCAAACAGGTCATACAATCTCCTTGCAAAAGTCAGATGTTAAACTCTAATGCTGAGGAAACGGTCTAATACTGCTTAGCACTTAAGGTAAGTAGAGAGATTGATTTCATAGTAGTATATTTATACATTAAAATAAAGAAAAAGATACCTCCATATGTGATCACATATGTAATAAATGTTTTACCTTATACACAGGAGCACTGGGGACTAATACCAGCATGGATATATCAACTTCACTGGCTTTATCCAAGTCACTTAACTTAATTTTTCCAATGTAAAATGAAATGATGTCATCTTTCCTATTAGATACTCATAAAAGTTTCTGATATATAAAATTATTAATTCCATTAGCATATACTGACAGGACACAATGTTTAAGGTATCACACTAGGCACTAAACATAATCCTTGTCATCAAGAAGCTCATATTCAAGAAGGGAGATAGGGGCTTCCCTGGTGGCGCAGTGGTTGAGAGTCCGCCTGCAGATGCAGGGGACATGGGTTCGTGCCCCGGTCCGGGAAGATCCCACATGCCGCGGAGCGGCTGCGTCCGTGAGCCATGGCCGCTGAGCCTGCGCGTCCGGAGCCTGTGCTCCTCAACGGGAGAGGCCACAGCAGGGAGAGGCCCACGTACCGCAAAAAAAAAAAAAAAAAAAAAAAAAAAAAGAAGGGAGATAGAAACAGAAATAGAATAAGGCAGTGTAGAAAACAAAGTGGTCAAGCTATGCACAGGATATTATCAAGCATCCAACCCAAGTAAGCAGAATTTCAGGAGCCTAAACTCTGCCTTGAAATGAGAATAAAGTGGCTAGAAAGAAGAGACAGCAAAATCAAAAGCACAGAAGTGTTGATCCATTTAGCATGTATATGCACAAACACGAGTAGCAGATAAAATTAAATTGAGAAGTAGAGTGTCCAGCCATGAGACTGGAGAGGTAGGCTGAGGTTACATCACAAGTGCTTTGTATGCCATGCTTTTTTAAAAACTGGAATTTAACACATTTTAGGTATCAAATTAGCACATGCATTTTAATTTTTTAAGAATTTTTATAAGTATCCTAACGATTTCTAATAGAAATGGTGGTATTACTGCATTTTACGTATAAGAAAATCAATACAATTAAACATCTTTGTTGCAACCACTGAAACAATGTACATTTTGGCATCAGCTCCAAATGCTCCTTTGTTTAATATAAAACTTTTTTTTTTTGCAGTATGTGGGCCTCTCACTGTTGTGGCCTCTCCTGTTGCGGAGCACAGGCTCCGGACGCGCAGGCCCAGCGGCCATGGCTCACGGGCCTAGCCGCTCCGTAGCATGTGGAATCTTCCCAGACTGGGGCATGAACCCGTGTCCCCTGCATTGGCAGGCAGACTCTCAACTACTGCGCCACCAGGGAAGCCCACTATAAAACTTTTTTATGCTGTGTGTGTATGTATGTGTGTATATATATATATATATATACACACACAAAAAAAAAACCCATATCTTTCTTTCTTTAGGAGACTATTCTCTTTATTATAATATCTAAATACAACATGCAAAAGAAACATTATCTCTCTTTGTGTTAAATACTAGGCAGCATTATTATCAGCTTCTGTAGTTTTTATTATTTGCTCAAATGCTAGTTTAAAGCTCAGTTTAATAGAAAGCTATGAATCATTTTCTGAATTCTTCAGTTTGCCTACATGAACGTTTTTGGGTTATGTATTTTTCTGACTGACAGGTGGGGAGGTAATGCACATATGCATCATTAAGGTAATATCACCTCAACAAAGTTGTCGAGCAAAAGGACTGAAAACTCCCCTGGATTTAGCAATTATTTATGAATATGTTGAAATAAGATCTGACTAAATGTTATAATCAGTAATCATACAAGGAGAATACTTGACAGGCATGCTTGATGTAGATGTTGAAGGCCATTTTGTACACACACATAAAAGAATATGTATTATCAGTTCTTATATAAGAAGAATATGTACTAAATGTCTAGAATGTGAACTGTGCAGGGTTTGACTAGATAGAAAAGTTCAGCAAAAAAGAGATGTGGGGCTTCCCTGGTGGCGCAGTGGTTGAGAGTCCGCCTGCCGATGCAGGGGACGCGGGTTCGTGCCCCAGTCCGGGAAGATCCCACATGCGGTGGAGCGGCTGGGCCCGTGAGTCATGGGAGGCCCGCATACCGCAAAAAAAAAAAAAAAAAAAGAGATGTGACAGGTCCTGGTGGCTGAAGGATGTCCACTGCTGGGAGGTGAATAATCAAACCACAGACTTGTGGGAAATAGTCCGCATTTGTAAAAGAGGATGTCACTGGGCTGGGCCAAACAGGAGCTCCCACGTGTGATAGGTTAATGAGAAAATGGAAGGGAAGAATGCTCCTGCAAAAAGACAAACAAACAAACAAAAAACGAGAACACACTATACACCATGTTCCCTGGTGGCCATGACACCAAAGGAAATAGATAAATGGACCCAAGACTGTGTACGTCTTCGGTGTGGTGAAAGGTGACCTGTGACTCTCAAAGCCACTGGGTCCAACAGTGACTGATGGAAAAAGATTCTGGAAGAGAAGCATGTGGAATAAGCTGAGTCTGCCTCATAAAAAGTTCATTTGATGTATCAAGAGGCTCCAGAAATAAACTAAACTAAATCAGCAATATAAAACAAAGATAGAACCCCCCTCCTCTGCGCACTCACTCTTGTACTTATCTCAATCACTGTACTTAACGGACTGCATCTTATTTCCCTACACATTTGCTTTCTTTTGAGAGTGTAAGCAACTTGTGGGAAGAGAATGTGTCCCCAGCCAAGTCTGGCACACAGTAGGCCCTCAATAATGTTTATTAAATGATAAATCAATGCCTAAGTCATTTTTAAAAAGAAAAATTAACTCAAGGGGTAATTTTTTGTCTTGTCTTGCCATATACCCTTTCTTTCTATTCTGCCATATATAACTTTAAAATATCCTTGAAAACTCAAAGTGTTTCAGTGTTTATACCATGACCAACAGAGTTCAATCTGGTTCTGCTCTAGAGAGCCAAGAGCAACAAACCATGAAGAAGCAGAACCAACTACACACTCCACCAGTAATTTCAGAGGCAGCCTGAATACATTCCATCAACGATTCCCACTATGCAGCTTCAGAGATGTTTAAATGGGATCAAGGAGATGGTAAGGACAAAAAACCTAATAAATCTTTGGTGTCCTGAGAATTTTCAAATGTTAATGTTTCAAATTCTGGGTAGCACATACAAGTGTTTGCTATATTCTTTGTACTCTCCTGTACTTTACGTTGTTTACAAATTATTAATACAAACAAAAAAGTAATTCTTAGGATTGTGGACCTATTAGAGAAGTAGAGAATAAAGAATTTCTGATATAAATTTACTACTGAAGTCCGACCACCTTGATTTACCAAGGAATTGTCCTTTAGGGCACAAATATGGAAAACTCCTTTTTGTTTCTTCTTATTAGGTGTGATAATGTAGTGCCAAGGATGGCCTCCAATCTGAAAAGCATTCTCCAGGGAGGACACCTCAAAGAGCAGTGGTGGTGTATCTGCAGAGATAGACAAAAGGAATGTATTAGCTCCTTTATTCTGGTAGCCTTGGATCATTCATTAACTGAACTCAACCTTTGCACGCATCATCTATGAACTTCCACTAATGAAAAATTACTATGTTCAAGGAAAGAAAATACAATCAGGAAAGATGCTTATTGCTTATTTCCATAGTCTTAAGAAAAGAAAAATCTGATAGGAAACAACTGTTAGGTTATGAGTCAACTTCCCAGACATCCGTTTTCAGGATATGTGTGACATGCAGCTGGATGGAGATAAAAAATGGGCTGAAGGTGCTTATGATGGCAAAAATGACAAAGTATACCTAACAAAAGCAGCTGCCATTTAATAAGCACCGGCTATCTACAAGGCTTGGTTAGATACTATTTCCATCTCTCGTAACAATCCAACAAGGTATTAGGTCTAATACTTCCTTCAAATGTGAGGAAGAGAACCTTCATATTCTAGACTAACCGGTTATATTTAGCAAACTTTACAAAAGAAGTGTTGCTTAAGATTTCCACTTCTGAAATAATGAAAAGTAACCACTTAGGATGGGTCCTGTTACCGTGGAAGCTTTATCAAAGGATAGCCACTACTACTAGTATAATCATTAGACAAGTTAATTTTAAGGTAGTTTAGATACATCCAGTCAGTCACTGTCTGTTGGAGACTGACAACACAAAAGAACTATCTGTTAGTGCTTCCTAGTCTTCTTCTTTGATGACAATTAATTTTATATAGAGCATAACAGACTTACTTTTGGAGACATGTATAAATGGAAGGTAGTGCTGCTTATGAAGACCAGAATTCCTTTGGGGCAGCCCTACTGAAATACCACATGGTCTGTTTGTGAAGGTGACTAATCAGAGTCCTTTGTTTATGCCTCTAACTTGAGAGTTTAATCTTTGGCTTATGAGGCCACCACTGTCAGTAAAGGGACTTGTCTTAGGGAGACCATTCACTCAAAAAATCACATGTTACATATAGAAGTGTGTGCCTTATTAGGTTTCTTCATAAGGGCAATTTACTACTTAAAGCTATACAAAGAGAACAACAAATAATGAAAAGTGAGTTTACAAACTGACAATCTTAAGGAGAAAGAAGAGATAAGTATAAACATATCAACTATATTTAAAGTACCTTTTTTTTAAAACCTTTTAAGAGAAGGGTAATATTCTTAATATATAAAGAAATCCTTTTTAAGTAATAAGAAAATGATGGACACCCCAATAGAAAAATGGGCAAAGGACATCAGTTGGTAAATTGTGAAAGGTACATAAACATCATGTGTGATAATATGGTGACTACCAAATGATGGTGGATGAGGAAAAGAAGAATTATAAAGAGAAAAAAATACAATTAGAGTTTGAATTTGGGGTTAAAAATTTAAGTAGGTATGTTGTAGAGAATATATGGTAGGAATTCAAAATAGGAAAAAAAAATCAATGCAAAAAGATGTATTTAAAAAGAAATACTTTTCCCAGCAGTTGCTAAAAATAGCCCAAAAGCACAGCATGACTCTGCTCACCACAACCCTGGTGGGTCCCCATTAGCCCCAAGAGCCCAAATTTTGATCTCTAATACTATTCTCAATTGAAAGGGCCTAGGAGTTCTCAGAGAATGGCTGATTCCATGTCTTGTGATGAGGAAATTTTAGGATCATTAATAATTACAGGAACATTCTTATATTATTTATAATCACAGAAAATTAAAAACAACCTAAATGTCCATTGTAAACTGGTTAAATAAATTTACAGTTCATGCGTTTAATGGTATATAAGTTGAGATTTTAAAACCTTGAGGAGCTTAGCGTGTGCACATATATACACAGGACCACTCTTTGGCAAAGGTAATATAAGTACTGCATTCAAAAAGCATCAGAAGAAATATAATGAAAACTAAGTTTTCCTTCCATCTGTATCCCTCAAAGATAACTACTATTTATCAGTTTTCTGTGTGCCCTTCCAGATATTTCAAGCAATCCTAAAGGCATATACTCATATATCTATACTTTTAATATATGCATATGAATACTTAACACAAATGAGGTTTTTTATATACATAGTTTTGCACTCCTTTTTTTACTTACTAATATATATTGGAAACTTCTCTATACCAGTGCAAAAAGAATTCCTGTTTCTTTTTAACAATTAAGTTTATGACATAGCCAAACAATCATAGAATACTAATGTCACCTATCAATGTATCAATATACATTGTTTCCAATCTTTTGCTGTTAGAAACAATGTTGTAACTGTACATTTGTCATTTTGTACACATGTGAATGTATCTGGGATAAATTCCTAAAAATGGAATTGCTCAAAGAATATATGCATGTAAAATTTTGAAACATACTGACCAATCGTCCTCCCCAAGGAACTCCAATAATAAATGAAAGTGCCTTTTCTATACTCTCACCAACCCTGTTACCTAACTTTTTGATATTTGAGAATCTGAAAAGAATTATCTTATGATAGTGTTAACTTGCGCTTCTCTTATCAGTGACGTTGGGCTTTGTCCTCCCCAAATTAAAAGTCATTTATATTTCCTCTTCTTCTGAACAATATCCTTTGCTCATTTTGTTGTTGTTGTTGTAGTCACTTCTTCTTACTGGTCTGTAGAACTCATATATAAGGAGGAAATTACCCCTTTACAGTGTATGTTGCAAATATATCCTGTTCGTTGTTTGATTTTTGAGTTGGTTTATGTGTGTGCTTTTGTTTTTTACCTTGCAGCACTTTATTTTTATGTAGCCAAATTTGTCAATCCCTTCTTTAATGGCTCTGCATTTGTGTCAGAAAGCTCTTCTCAACTCTGAGATAAAAAGATTCTCTAAGTTTTCTTATAGAACTTTAAATCTTTGATCCATCTATTATTTCTTTTGATGTAAAGAGATAGAACTCTGACTTTGTTTTCATAAGACCATCTATTAAATAATCTAGATGGAAATTAATATTTGTAATATATTAACATTTAAAAGTGGGTTAGGCTACAGATATATGCAATAATATGCAATGAATCTCAAAAATAATATGGTGAGTGAAAGAAGCCAGATAAAAAAGTACATATCATATGCTTCCATTTATATGAAACTCCAGAAAACTAGAGTGAAAGAAAGCAGGTTCATTGGTTGCCTAAGGCGGGGGATGGGGAGGGAATTGACTGGAAAGGGCACAGGGGAACATTTTGGAGTGATGAAAAGATTTTAAATCTTGATTGTAGTAGTGGTTTCATGGATATAAACATTTGGCAAAACTCAAATTGTACAGTTAAAATGAGGGCATTTAAGTGCATGTAAATTATACTTTGAGTTGTTTTTTTAAATTATTTTATTTTATTTTAATCATTTTATTATTTCTTTTCTTTTCTCTGTTTTTGGCTGCACCGTGTGGCTTGTGGAATTTTAGTTCCCTGACCAGGGATAGAACCTGGGAGCCCAGCAGTGGAAGCACGGAGTCCTAACCACTGGACCACCAAGGAATTGCCATTATTTAATTCATTCATTCATTCATTATTTTTTTAAAAAGCAAGTTATGAAAGAGTATTCACAGTATGATTCTTTTTTGGTTTCAGACATATATACATTACAAGATTACCAAAAAAACACACTGAGGTGATAACAGTTAATTCTATGCAGGAGGACTATGAGTATTTTAAACTTTCTCTGTTTATCATTATTTCCTAATTCTTCTGTAATGAAAATGAATTGCTTTGCATTTTTAAAAAAAAGTTATTTACAGTTAAAAGGAATAATTTTGTACAGAGCTTAATGATCCTGAAAAACAAATCTGTAGAAATGAATAGGATTTCAGTCAATATAGTCTGAAAAAATACTCAAAGTTTCCAACATAGTATGCTACTTTTCTAAGCTAAATGTCCAACAATTGCTGTATTGTTTTACAATGGCATGTGATATCACAGATATTTTCAAATGTTATTATTTTAAAGTTGATAAAAGTGAGGCCCAGAGAGGTTAAGTAATTTGCTCACTATCATAACCACCAGTTAGTAGTGGAATTTCACTCTTACTAGTAGCAGAACAAGGTTGTGATCCCAAATCTAGTCTTCTCTCTACAAACAGGGACCAAAATCACAGCACAATCAAAGGCTCTATGAGCTTTCTTTATCACCCTGTTCTTTGCTTTATTTGCTTACTATCTGCATTTCAATGAGAACAATGTACCATTTGGGGAAACTCTCTTCAAAATAATACATTGTAGTTACTACTGGAGCCTGTAGTTTTAAAATTCTTAATAGATTCCTGCTAGCATATTTGTATCAAATATAGGAGGTATTGCTGAGGCTGAGTTATCACAGAACTGCCTAATTCAGCTTGTCCAAGACATCTAAAACCCCGAGTAATTTTTAGAATATTTATTTTGAGTTTCTTGAATAATGGCTATACTGGACTCTGTTTTTATACTCTGTCATTTACTAATAAAAAGAACATCTCCTTTCTCACAATTAAATCTTTCATTTGTTTCTTGATCTGTTGATGATGTAATGTTAAATAGTAATAATAGAAAAAAATTACTGTCTTATTTTGACCCACGTTAGAAAAACCTTTGGAGTTTCACCTAAATATGTGATGTTTATTGGTTAGAAGTAAAAGGAAATATCCTCAATATGACAAAGAATGATTCTTTTTTAAAAAAATATTTATTTATTTAAATTTATTTGGTTGCCCCAGGTCTTAATTGCGGCAGGCGGGCTCCTTAGTTGTGGCATGTGGGCTCCTTAGTTGTGGCATGCAAACTCTTAGTTACAGCATGCATGTGGGATCTAGTTCCCTGACCAGGGATCAAACCTGGGCCCCCTGCATTGGGAGCCTGGAGTCTTAACCACTGTGCCACCAGGGAAGTCCCAAGAATGATTCTTAATGAACCAAGACTAAAGATAAACAAATATTAGGATAACAAAATATATTATCTTTTTAAATTTATTCATATCAGTTTTACATCTGTCTGCATTAAATAATTCTTGTATTGCTGAGATGAACTCTGGTCAGTCATGGTTTATCTAACACACATTGCTCAATTTGAGTAGCAGTTCATTTCCTTTTAATAAACTGCTGAATTTGATAAGCTAATTAAATATAGAACATTTTTATTATATTTATAAAATTATGTATAACTTTTTTGTGCTTTGTTGATCTTTAAGTTGGGTAAATTTCACAGAATTGTAAAATTTTAAGCTATAAAGGAACTAAGATGGTATCATTTGCTGCAACTTATTATTCTGCAGATAAGGAAATCACGACCAGAAAGGTAAAAGTAACTTGCCAAAGGCAACAGATCTCTGGCTAAGCAAGGTCCAGCATCCCCAGGCCTTTATCTAAATGAATAACAGATTTTTGTGAATGCCTATTCAAAAGCAAAGAATACTCTGCATAGGAATAAAATGAATTAATTTATAATTAAATCATGCAAAAAACATTTGGATGATTACAATTAATAACTATTAATATGACCACTTAATTTTTAAGGTGAAGAAAGTACTATATAGTAGCCATACCTGTGATTTTAATATTACAAGGAATGCCAAAAGGAGCCTCTCCTACAGTTCCAGTAGTCCCACCCCATCTGCATGCACACCCTAAGTCAAGTTTCTGTTGCATGAACTAAAAACAAAACAAAACAAAAATGGTGGCTTTAGCACCTACTTATTTGCTGTCTGGAGAGAGAAAAAAATCAAATTCACATGTATATGACAGAGGAAATGTCTTTATTTATTCAAGGGCCTTTCTGTTTATCTTCCCACCCCTCTTTTAAAGGTTACTTTGTCTTTCTGCATTTGTACAGTTTTGTAGAGTTGAAATCTACACAGTGCCTTACTTTAAAAACATCTCATTAAAAAATTCATACCTCAGTCCTATCAAGGGGGGAAAGTGGCGAGGGGGGTGGTGGTGGTGGTGTGATGAACTGGGAGATTGGGATTGACATGAATACACTAATATGTATTAAATGGACAACTAATAAGAACCTGCTGTATAAAAAAAATAAATAAAATAAAATTCAAAAAAAAATTCATACCTCAGTCCAAATCTCAAGTTAATTTCAATATGGCAAATTTCAATTTTCTCTACCTGTTCAGTGATGGCTTGGAAGCTATAAAGTCTGACCAGTCCCGAGCTGTACATCACAATCAGTATTCCATGAGACAAGGTGGCATCTGTTACGCTCCCGAAAATCTGAGGGGAAAGGTAGATATCACCTGAGAAAAGACCAGAAGGCCAATCCTCTGAGTTTCAGAGTGGTTTGTCCATCTGTTTAATATTCAGGCCACCACTACAACACTGCTGCCTAGCATTATAACTTAATTATAATTTAGAAACTGGAAGCTAAGGTGTTATTAGGGCAGAGTGGTAAGCCACTGGGGTCTCAAACTGAAGCACTAATGGGAGTGTAAGACATACCCCTCAAAATGATGCAGCAGCATACATTTGCTTCACAGTCTTGTCAATATCTTTTAATAACAAATCCTCTTCCTCATGGACATAGGTGTAAACTGAGTCCATTTAATTCTACCACGCAGAATATGCACGGCAGAATAAATACAGGGACCTATTCTTCATAAAATGTTATTTATAAAGGGACATTTTTTTAGCTGGAGGTGAAAAGATTGGGTCTAAGAAAGTAATTCTAGTAAAAAATAGCCTACTCGAGAATTTTATCATTACCTTGTTCTTTAAATATCTAATACTGTTAAAACCGAACATGTTAAAAACCAAATACATCCAGAAACATTTAGCCTAGCTAACCTTGAGGAGCTTTGGCTCATTGTTCCCTTTCTGTCTCTGTTCTATGTACTGGATCCTGTCATGATGCTCCATAGAGCTCTAAAAAGAACTTGATTCTGTGCCTATTTTAATATTTAACAAAAGCCAACTAACATAAACAAATATTCATAGCAATGAAAGAACAAGTACCCCCGCTCGCCACAACTAGAGAAAGCCTGCATGCAGCAACGAAGACTCAATGCAGCCAAAAATAAATAAATAAAAAAGAAAGAACAAGTAGAAATTCAGTGAAAATCTGTTTCTGTTTCTACTCAAGACAAATCATTTAGTAAAGATTTACTACCCCAACAAACAGCTTAAAGTACATTCTGAGCCTGGCCCGTAGGTAGTCTTATTATGCATGGTAAGTGAAAGATAAACGTCAATTTCAAATAACTGTAATCAAAATCAAATCCCTCAAATGATTATCTCGAACATGTAAGAATAAGTAGAAACAATTTATGACTTTGCTAAGTGTTCACTCCTATTGTAGACTGTAATAAGTATACACACTTAATCCACAAGCACAAAGAGAACAATTACACTTATGAGCTGTGTTTTCTGTCATCTCTTAAAAGGATAATCATGGTTTGCCTTGCTCTTGACTAGCCTATGACTTTTTATTCCCTGATCCTCATTCCCCAATTTGAAAGGAGGATTTGTTTAATTCAAATGTATTTTCAGATGATGAGTGCTATAATAAAGTAGCCACTCTTATTTTAAAATTTGGTTTAAACTCTGGAGTCAAATCTAAGTTCAAATTCCAGCTTCTCCATTTACTACCTTTAGGATTTTGGTAGCTGCTTAACCTCCTAGTTAAATACTTTATATGTTACACTATTATTATATGTCGTAAAATATTCAAAGTGCCTGATACAAAATGAACAATTAATAAATAATTAGTTCTTTAGTCTTTATGCAGTTTAGTATATTATGCTTATATAAAACTTTTAAAATACATTCATCTTGTTTGCTTATAAGTATTAGTGGACCCTCAAGACCTGGCCTCAATAATGCTTCAGGTGCTTAATTAAAGACTAGTAGAATAGACCAATAAATAACTATTCACCCAAACTAAGTAACAATTTTTTTTAAAGGAAACTAGCAAACTATTGATTCTTTTACTCAGAGGAAATATGTCCTTTCTTTCTTCCCAAATAACCACCCCACAAATCAAGAACAATGGCAACAACAATAAAACCCAACACTGGGCTTCCCTGGTGGCGCAGTGGTTGAGAGTCTGCCTGCCGATGCAGGGGACGTGGGTTCGTGCCCCGGTCTGCGAAGATCCCACATGCCACGGAGCGGCTAGGCCTGTGAGCCATGGCCGCTGAGCCTGCGCGTCCAGAGCCTGTGCTCCGCAATGGGAGAGGCCACAACAGTGAGAGGCCCGTGTACCGCAAAAAATAAAAACAAAACCCAACACTGAATGAGTTGAAGAACTTACATATTTAATTATAAGACTTGTTTATATACCATAAAACAAGTTTTAGATCTATACTTTGCAATTAAAATGAGGCACTTTGTTGCAGCTTTTTACCTTTATGATCATTTTTAACAAGCTTTGGAATATTCCCAATGAAAAAAATATTTTACTCATTTCATAATTTTATAGAACAGTGGTTTGTTAATGACTGGTACTCAACACTATCCACCTGAAAAGCATAAAAACATGCAGAAAGGGACTTCCTTGGTGGCGCAGTGGTTAAGAATCCTCCTGCCAATGCAGTGGACACAGGTTCGATCCTTGGTCCGGGAAGATCCCACGTGCCGTGAAGCAACTAAGCCCGTGCGCCACAGCTACGGAGCCTATGCTCTAGAGCCCGCGCGCCAAAACAACTGAGCCCATGTGCCACAACTACTGAAGCCCACGTGCCTAGGCCCATGCTCCACAACAAGAGAAGCCACCGCAATGAGAAGCCCACACACTGCAATGAAGAGTAGCCCCCAACACAACTAGAGAAAGCCCATGCGCAGCGACGAAGACCCAAAGCAGCCAAGAATAACTAACTAACTAACTAAATAAACATGTAGAAAGATGAAGGGACTATTAGACTCTCGTCCCACATCAAATGTTCTCATGTATTCTGATATGAAATAAACTAAATCAGCAAGCTTTGTACAGTCAAGGGAACATTTCCAATCCAAACACCTAATAAACAAATAATTAAACAATGATATTACACCTTATTGTCAAAAAATTAGTATTACAATTAAATCAGAAATGAGTTCCTACCTTTTTGTTGATCTCCAGAATCCCTATGAGTGAAAAAGGTAGCACATGGAACACTGCAAGGTACAGCAAAACAGGTTGTTGAATGCCTGCCTAAAAGGAAAGACTAAAATCATAGGCAGCTCTCAAGAGTATTTTAAAACTGCTGTTTTCCTAGTGGTTACCAGTGGGGAAAGGGAAGTGGGGGAGGGGCAATATAGGGGTAGGGGATTACGAGGTACAAACTATTATGTATAAGACAAACTACAAGGATATATTGTACAACATGGGGAATAAAGCCAATATGTTATAAGAACTATAAATGGAGTATAACCTTTACAAATCATGAACCACTATATTGTACATCTATAACATATATCATACATCAACTATACTTCTATAAAAAGTTTTTTTAATTAAAAAAATAAAAACACTGTTTTCATGAATTAAAAACACTCCTCTATCTATATTGCAAAGTTACTTAAACAGGAAGGGCTGCATGTTCAAAATATGTCCACTAAGCCTTTAGTCCTTCAGATACTACAAACTGCATATACACACAAAAATCTATAGAAGTAAGTATAACAGTAAACGTTTCTTAACAACAAAATATATTTTCCAAAAACATACTTTATATACTGTATAACAAAATATATTTATATACTATATAATAGATTATAATATAAATTAATATATTGTATTATATTATTATACAACATAATTTATACTGTGAATTGGAATTCTAATAATCAAGGGCCTAATCAAAAGACACAGAGTTATCATGGTCATATCATTTAGCATTACAAAACAGTATTACACTAACATGAGAAAATAGAAATAGAAAAAAGTATCAACAATTAAAACTCGAGTGATTTCTCTGCTTGAAGAAGATATCTCCTTTACTCTGAAGAACAAGGTTCAAATTTCTTTCCGTTATGGAATATAAAATAATCTGTGGTATTTCCCCAGAGTGGCTTGAAGGGAATTGCCTAAATTTGTGGTAAACAACTTTTAGCATGCTTCAGAAATCAAAGATAATTAGTTCTTTTATAACAAATTTTCAGACAAAGATGCTGAAATCAAAGATAATTAGCATGCTTCAGAAATCAAAGATAATTAGTTCTTTTATAACAAATTTTCAGACAAATTCCTCTAGAAACAAATTCTTTATTTTATTGAATGTTTAAAGATGTCTACCTGCTGGGCCAATGCTGAGCCTTTGCTCTGAGCTGACTTGACTGCAATGACTTCTTGAGGAGTGTCCCAGCTCAAGTATCTTTTAAAAGAATAAAAAGAAATTTATTCATTTGGGTCAATTTCCTTATACTTAAAATAAAAATATAATAGATATTTTAAAAGTGAACAGTTTTTCAGTTACTTAAATTATAAAAGCAAAGCAGTTTATTTTAAAAACAAGTAACTAAAAGAATTCCCTTGGATCCTTATACGTATTTATTCCTATTTTTAAATATATATATAATTTTAATCCTTCTAGAGTCTCAGTGAATAAAAATTATATTTGATCTGTCAGTATTCAAAACTTAGAAAACAAAAAACCATTCCTGATTTAAAATGGAAGTTACAAAAAGCATTGAAAATGTTACATTCACATTTTGCATGCACATATTCATTCCAAAAATTTATATCTAATTTATAAAATTGCTAGTTAAAAATGAACAGTTCTTAGATTATATTACGTAGGTAATTTAACTCAACAGACCAGCCTTCAGAAAAATCTACCATAAAATACATCCTACATATAAAATACTATTTGTAAAAAGTAAATTTTTTTAAGAAAGGGTATCTGCCAACTACTAGAGGTTAGTTACTTATGAGGAATACAAATATAAATGATAAAAGGTCTCCATCCTCAAATCTTCAAAAGTAGTCATGAGGAGAGAAAAATAGAATAGGTTTTTAAACTGAGATCTATGTATACAATGGAAAACTTAAAAAAAAAAAATCTTGAAATATCCCAGGCCACAAGTCTCAATTTTTCATAATAAAATTTTAAATAACAAAGTCACACTTAATACCTGAATTTGCAATATGAAGCAAGATATATTTTCTCAAGGACTTTTCCTGTAGTTGCTGATATACGAAGTAGCCAATTATGAGCAGTCAGTGCTATGAGTGAGGATTTATAATCTGATGTATTGGGAAGCATTTCTCCCTTAAAAAAAATGAGGTATAAAACTGAAACTCCACAGTCATAAACAATCTGCAGTAATCCATATCCAAAGAAAACAGCTAAACACTTAAAGAAGTAGTCAAATAAGTAAATTAAAAAAGAACTATTAATGCACAAAGAATTAAGACAAGGAAAGATTAAAATCATGAATAATTATTTTCATCATTAATTTATTAAGTGAGTTTGTTCACATGGAGTGCTTCAACAGTACCTGAAATAACTGATTACTTATTAAGTATTAATCATTAAGTATTCAACAAATGTTAGCCAATCATTATCATAATAACAACAGTAATAGGAGTACTACTGATGCTGCTGTGATAACAATAGCAACAATAACATTTCTTTTTTTTTTTTTTTTTTTTGCGGTACGCGAGCCTCTCACTGTTGTGGCCTCTCCCGTTGCGGAGCACAGGCTCCGGACGCGCAGGCTCAGTGGCCATGGCTCACGGGCCTAGCCGCTCCGCAGCATGTGGGATCTTCCCGGACCGGGGCACGAACCCATGTCCCCTGCATCGGCAGGCGGACTCTCAACCACTGTGCCACCAGGGAAGCCCCAATAACAGTTCTTAAAACTATGTATAATACCATAAGCAATTAAGAGTCATCTGCTAGAATAGATGTTTCTTTATTCTTGTTTTCCTTTTGATAAAAGTTAAAATGGCAAAAGAGCAAATTATCCCATTAGTCACTGTGGCTCTACTCTAACCTCAAATGAAAAGCTAAAATCCAGAATCAAGGCAGCCAAAGAAGAAAAGAATCAGACCTAATTTTAAAGAGAACCTCTGTCTCCAATGGATTACCCCCAACAAAGGGAGAGGACAGCTGCTTGGGCGTACCTGCCACTGAGGGGTTGCCATAAGGTGGAAGACTAAGGCAGAAAGAGAAAGAGAAGCCAAGGGTTCTACTTTGATTTATAGAATAAAAAAGATGTTCTAAGGGGAAAGTTAAGAATAAGGAAGTTGAAATTACTCTTATATTGCTTGGGCTGAAGAGTGAATAGAAAAGAATGTAAGTGTAGTTATTTTATTTATACTCCTAAGGTTTGTCTCCCCTTTCAAATGTCAGGGAAAGAAACAAGGTTTTTTTGTTTGTTTCTTGGGTGTGTGTGTGTGTGTTTAAGCTTATTAGCTACTGAAGTCTTACACTAAAATCACAGGCAATGATGTAAATATTTTTATTCTTTGGTGTCTTACATAAGTATCACCTCATGGAGTTTTTAAAAATGTACCATTTATACCTTGCCTACTTAAAAAAACAAGGATTAAGTAGCATACATAATAGGTTCAAGCTATTTTCCTAAACTAAAAGTTGCATTTCACACATTATCTCAGAGAAGAAGGGTGCTAGTTTAAATGTAGTTTCACATCAGTATGTTAATACAATATGCTTTGTAGTTTTTCTTAGTGGAAAATCTTGCTCCACTTCAAATAAGAATGAAATGTTTAAAGAGAATTGAGATTAGGAATTTGGTTACTAGAAACTTTATTTTTGCAGGATTGCTCTAAATTTTTGGTGTTCTGCACTGGTGTCTTCAAAATGTTTCTCAGTTAGGAAATCTGTCATCCTCTTCCCCTCACCAATGAGACTGGATTAAAAGGCTTTAGATGTGGGGACACAAAAGTTATTTTTAACTTTCAATAAGGAGTTGGGGAAGAGAACGTAGATTTAAAGCTTCCTGATTTTTAAAAAGGAGACTTCTATGAAAAGAAAGCAACTGTCCAGGGAAAAAGAAAGCAGCAGCTCTGGAAAACTACAATTTTATGTAAAAACAACTGTTTAAAAAAAAAAGGAATTTTAATAATAAATGCAAAGCATAGTCTCTTAACCTTTAAACATTATTTTTGGTCACATATTCTATTTTTCCTAAAAAATAAACAGCCAGATTCACAGACCTGATTAGTTTGTTGTAGTACTTTTTTTCTTTCTTCTTTTTTTTTTTTTTTGGCCACACCAGACATCATGTGGTATTTAGTTCCCTGACCAGGGGTCGAACCCGTGCCCCCTGCAGTAGAAGCGAGGAGTCTTAACCACTGGACCACCAGGGGAGCCCCTGTTGCAGTACTTTTTTTTTTTTTAAACATCTTTATTGCAGTATAATTGCTTTACAATGGTGTGTTAGTTGCTGCTGTATAACCAAGTGAATCAGCTATATGTATACATATATCCCCATATCTCCTCCCTCTTGCGTCTCCCTCCCCACCCCTCTAGGTGGACACAAAGCACCGAGTTGATCTCCCTGTGCTATGCAGCTGCTTCCCACTAGCTAGCTATTTTACATTTGGTAGTGTATATATGTCCATGCCACTCTCTCACTTCGTCCAGCTTACCCTTCCCCCTCCCCGTGTCCTCAAGTCCATTCTCTATGTCTGTGTCTTTATTCCTATCCTGCCCCTAGGTTCATGAGAACCTTTTTTTTTTTTTAAGATTCCATATATATGTGTTAGCATACGGTATTTGTTTTTCTCTTTCTGATTTACTTCACCCTGTATGACAGTCTCTAGGTCCATCTACCTCACTACAAATAACTCAGTTTCGTTTCTTTTTATGGCTGAGTAATATTCCATTGTATATATGTGTTGCAGCACTTCTTAAGTGTTTCTTAGAACACTGATCCTATGGAAAATTAATATTTAAAAATATATCTCAAAATAGGAAGTTCTATGATCAAAAAAGCTGGGAAAACGGTTTGACAATCACCATGAACAGTAGTATTATTGTAAGTATTAATAGTATTAAAGGCTCTGAGAAGTAATTCTATAATAAACTTATTTAACCCTTTAAACAACCTAATTCTCCCAACTCCTCTAGCAATTATAAGATGTTAACATCTTATGAAAACGGTGTTCTGAAAAAATACACACTGGGGCAATGCTGATCTGATGGAATGAGCTTATCTATTATTTTATTATTTTTATTTTTATCTTATTATTTTCCTAAAAAGATTCATAGAGGAAACCCGTAAGAATCCACTTTCAAAGAGTCACATGGGCTTCCCTGGTGGCGCAGTGATTGAGGGTCTGCCTGCCGATGTAAGGGACACGGGTTCGTGCCCCGGTCCGGGAAGATCCCACATGCCGCGGAGCGGCTGGGCCCGTGAGCCATGGCCGCGGAGCCTGCACGTCCGGAGCCTGTGCTCCGCAATGGGAGAGGCCACAACAGTGAGAGGCCCGCATACCGCAAAAAAAAAAAAAGAGTCACGTAACGTAACTGTTGCCCTAAATAAATATTTTATTGTCTCAATATATTAAGTAGAATAATCTCTTAAATGCTAAGAATAACTATAAACTAGCTTATATTGCTTATAAAACTTTTAATCAGTTCATAACTTTTTCTAGTTTTCAAGATTTACAAATGGTATTAAAAGTTAAAAATATATTCATAGTATTAATATATAATTTTTTAGGACAGGAATTACTTGGTGAGGAAAAATGATAATCAAAAGATATGCTCTCTTCTTGATTCCTTTCAAAGTTTAAGAATCACTATGATGCCTAAGTTTTATTTCTTTATGCAGTACATTAACAATAATCTGTTCTTCTAGGCTAAAAATGCTTTAGAAATAAGTGCTCTAAAAACAAATCTTACCACTGGGCATTCCCATAATAAAGCATCCTCTATTTTTTCTGATTTGGAACATTTTGGCATTTCATAAAGTTTTCTTGGCTCTGATGCAACGCTGGGGAAAAAAAAAAAGATTATTCTTCTTCATAAATGAGGTAGTGTTTGCTCAGATTTGACGGTTTTGTTTTTTTTTAATTCAGAGATTTGGAATACCAAAAATACAACTTGCTACTTTGTTTTCCTCTTCTTGATTAAATGTTAACATTTTTTTTTCTGATCACAAAATTCATAATACACATTCATAGAAAAAAATCTAAAATATATAATAAATTAAAATAAATTATAATAGTACAAAACTACCCAATATTAACATTTTGGCTCAGTATTAATATCTTGGTTCATTTCCCTCTAGCTTTTCTTTATATACACATACCCACCTGCTGATCACTTTCCAAAATTGGAGCATACTGAATTCTTTCTTTATCCTTTAACATTTAATATGAATATCTCTGTTGAATTCCACATTCATAAACTGTTATTCCAACATCATAAAATGAAAATTAATTAGATAAAGAGTTCCTTTATTTGCGATGCAAATTAGTAGATAATAAAGGAAATACCCTTTAAGGCTTTTTTTTTTACTCCCAAGTTGTGTTTCAGAAAGGTTGAATAAGCTTATACTTCTGCCAATATTGAACACTATATTTTTGATATGAAAAATAGTCTCTTACCTTTAATATATACTTCCCTGATTACTACTAAGAGGTGTACATAGATGTTTTCATTTTTTTAAACTCATGAACTTTAAAATTAAACTACTATTTAGAAACAATTTTTAGGGTGACAATTTTATTCAACTTTGATGTACTCTCACTGACTCAAAGGTTTAAACCAAACAGAATTTCACAGAAATGAAAGCAACCTCATATATGATTCTAACCTATGGGTAAAACACCCCTGAATGGAATAAAGAACTCCAATGGTATTTACCATTGGATCACCAATCAATGCCACTTACCCTGATTTTTAAAAAATTTTCAATTAAAGCAGCTATCTCTAAATTGGAAAAGTTACAATACGGGCATTAAATGATACCAAAGAATTACTGTTAATTTTGCTGGGCATGATAATGACATTATGATGATATAAGAAGATGTCCAGATTTCCACTTCTAGCATGAGAGTATGAGGAGCTCTATGGACATGCTCCCCAGTAAAATGGTGAGAATTATAAAAGGACAACTAATTAAAGTCTCTGGAAGTGGTCCTAGAGGCATATAACAAATGAAAAAACATTTACTCAAAAAAATCTACTAGAACTCAGTAAGAACAGTAAGAGTCTATGGTGTTTGAAATAATATGTGCTCCCTCTCCACCATTCTTAGCTCAGCAAGATGAAAACTCTACTCCAGACTGGTACAGCCAAGAGCACAGGGCTCCCTCAACCCCCGGCTCCTAGAGGGTTACCTTCCCTCGAAGGGTAGAATGACAGCATTTTCCATCCAGCCTCCACCTCCTCGTTGCTGGGCCTGGGTTCTAGGTTAGTGCAGTCAAGAGGTGGGACTCCCTTCTGCCTAGCCCCTACTCATGGGACGGAGGCTCTACCTTGGGCCTGCCATGCCTAAGAATACTGGAGCTCTGATTACCCTTATCCCACCTCATAAAGCAGTGGTTCCACATTGAGAGTGGCAAGAAAATCCGAGGCTAATGTCTGCCCCAACCCCATGTGCTCAGCTAGAGTAAGGGAGTCATTCAGAGGCAAAAGTGCCACTGACCCTCTCCCCCCACCAGCTTGAGAGCCTTGGCATGAAGATTTTGCCTGGCGGAGAAGCAGGCCATAAAGCAGGCCAAGTCTCTTCCCAGAGAAACTGACTTCATTTGTAACAGAGTGAGAAGTTCTAGCCTAAGAGCACTCTCACAACCAGTGGAAGCTGTGATGAAAGGCAAATGAGTAGAGATCTGTAGATTCACTGGCCATACAGGCTAAACTGTAGGCTGGTTAATTTGCTGGAGAGAACCAGAAAAAGATTGCTAGGAGGAGCCCTCCAGGGTCAGAACAAATCTCAAACACTACTTAAAAAACCATTGTCTCTAACTTCTGGTTTCTGGTCCATCAGTCATGTCCTCACAACAAGAAAATAGCTAAGCAAACTGAAAATCAACAACTCTTATTAGTTACATCAGATAATTGAGGTCAGAGGGCAAATTGCTGCCCCCAAAACTGGAGAGAGAGGTGGATACCAAGAATCACAGCTTACTAGAAGCAAAAACCCAGGAGCAAGCCGCTGGAGTCAGTACTGGGGAGACAAAAACAAGAACACCAGAGAAAATTTTAGGCTCTGACACCTACAGCGACAGCAAACAACAAACACAGCCTAACTCCTAGCCAGATAAATATTAATCTCACTCTAAAGACCTATTTACTACAATTCCTTTTACCCAATACATCATGAACTTTCAACAAAAAATTGCAAGGCATGCTAAAATGCAAAATACGAAGTTTAAAGAGACAAAGCAAATGTGAGGACCAGACAAGTTATGGTGGAGGTTTCGGAATTATCAGATTGGGAACTTAAAATAAATATGATTAATATGCTAAGGACTCTAATGGAAAAAGTGGAGACATGGAGGAACAGATGGGTAATTAATCACAGAGAAAAAATCCTAAGAAAAAATCAAAAGGAAATGCTAGCAATCAAAAACACCATAATACAAATGAAGAATGTCTTTGATGGGCTTATCAGGAGACCGGACACAGTTGAGGAAAGAATCAGTGATCTTGAACATACGTCAACAGAAACTTCCCAAACTAGAAAGAAAAAAGAATGAAAAAAGCAGAACAGAACATCTAAGAACTGTGGGAAATTGGAAAATGTGTAATGTACACAAAATGGGAATACCAGAAGGAGAAGAAAGAGAACAAAACAGAAGAAATACTGAAATAATAATGGCCGAAAATTTTCCAAAATTAATGACAGACACCAAACCACATACATAGGAAGCTTACAGAACACCAAGCATGATAAATACCAAAAAATCTATACCTAAGCATACCATATTCCAACTGTAGAAAATCAAAAACAAAGAGAACATCTTGAAAGACGGTAGAGGGAAAAAAATCACCTTACCTACAGATGAACAGGTTAAGAATTACACTGGACTTCTCTTCAGAAACCATGCAAGCAAGTAGAGAGTGGAGTGAAATATTTAAAGTGATGAAACAAAACAAACTCCCACCAACCTAGAATTCTGTATCCTGAGAGGTTATCCTTCAAAAGTTGAGGAGAAATAAGACTTTTTCAGACAAACAAAAATTGAGGGAATGTGTTGTCAGTGAACCTGCCTTATAAGAAAGTTCTGCCTTAAGAACTCAAAGAAGTTCTCCAGAGAGAAGAAAAATGATATAGGTCAGAAACTCAGATTTACATAAAGAAAAGAAGAATGTTAAAGAAGGAATAAATAAAGATAAAATAAAATCCATTGTTTTTCTTATACTTAATTGATTTAACTGATAAAAAGGTGTTTATAATAATGTATTCAGCAACAAGGTATTCAATGATTATAGCTTATGGATAAGTAAAATGTATGACAGCAATATTATAAAAGACAGGAGGGAGGAATTAGAAACACTCTGTTATAAGGTAGCTGCACTACTCATGAAGAGAGTAGGAGAAAGTGACTTGAAAGTGACTTAGATTAGTTGTAAATGTATACTGCAAGTTCCAAGGCAACCACTAAAAAGTTTAAAAAAGAAATATAATTGATATGTTAAAGTGGAGAGAAAATGTAATCATATAGAATGCTCAGTTAAAACCAGAGAAGGCAGAAACAGAATAAAAGACAAAGAAACAAAGAAAGCTGGAGTAGCCATATTAATTTCAGACACAGCAGACTTTGACAAGGAAAATTATCAGGGATAAAGAGTGGCATTAATGTGTATGCATCTAACAACAGAATGTCAAAATATGTGAGACGAAAACTTACAGAACACAAGGAGAAATAGACAAATCCACTAATATAGTTAGAGACTTCGAAACAACCTCTATCAGTAACTGACAGATCCAACAAGCAGAGTCCATAAGGATATAGTTGAACTGAACAGTACCATCAATCAGCTGGGTCCAACTGACATCTTTAGAGTACTTCATCCAACAACAAGGGAATACACATTCTTCTCAAGCCCACGTGAAACATTCACCAAGATAGACCACACTCTGGGCCATAAAGTATACTTCAACAAATTAAAACAACTAGAAATAATACAAAATATGCTCTCAGAACACAGTGGAATTAGATTAGAGATCAATAACAGAAAGATAGCTGGAAAATCTCAAAATATTTGGAGATTAAATGACACATTTATAGTTAACACAAGGATCAAAGAAGCTCTCAAATTTTAAAATGAATATACAGTGTATCAACATTTGTGGGATGCAGCAAAAACAGTCCTTAGAGGGAAATGTATGGCATTAAATACATATATTAGAAAAGGAGAGGTGTTTTTGGGTTGGTGAACACATGGAGATTCAGGAAGAGTGGCAGGCTCAGAGAGCATAGAAGCTCTGCGCTCCTTCCCATATACACTGCCCTATGCATCTCTTCCATCTGGTTGTTCCTGAGTTATAAACTTTTATAATAAACTGGTAATCTACTAAGAAGCCAGTCACACACAAAAACCCATATTATGTGATTCAATTTTTTGAAATGTCCAAAACAGATGAATCTATAGAGACAGAAAGTAGACTAGCAGGTGCATAGGGCTGAGGGTGATGAAGGTATCCTGGTGATAGCTAAAGGGTACAGTGTTTCTTTTTGAGGTAATGAAAATGTTCTAAAATTAACTGTAGTGATGTCTATATGAACCATCAGTGGTTCATCAAATTCATTTTCATTGAATTTCGAGGAAGTAAAAATCATTGCATCGTACACTTTAAAATGGTGAATTCTTTCTTAAAAAAGAAAAAGAAAATGGCCATATTTTTTTAGAGAAGCAAACTTAAGTACGGCATGATGTTTGGAATATGCTTTAAAATATTTAGCAAAGGAATAAAGGAAAAGGGGGTGGGAAAAGATAAGCAAATGGCAAAATCTTGATCCTTTTTGAATCTAGGTAATGAATATATGGGGTTCACTATGCTATTCTCTACTTGAGCAAGTTTGAAAATTTCCTTCTAAAACAAAGGCAAGTAGTTTCAAAACAAAACACATAAAGTCTTCTCTAAAACATCATCTAATTAGTAGGTACCTGGATCTCTTGGCTCTGGTATCTTTTAAGCAGAATAAAATACATTGTACTCAGCAAACTGTCATTTTGCCTGCAATATAAATTTGCTTTAAGTTGGTGTTTACAAGAATAAAACCTCAAACTTTAGATTTAACAAGATTTTAAAATTACATGTATTTTACCCCCTACCCTTATTTTGGACCGATTTCTCCATTCTCCTATTTCACTAAGCACTAATGTAGGCATGTGTTTCTATAAAAATTAGAGTTAAGATCAACAGTCAAATGAATTACAGCAAAAACTTTCACCAAAAAGATACCTGCTGACACAGCACCGATAGTTGTCAAAATATATTCTTCCTCTCTCATAGGCTATAGGTGACTTGGAATGAGTTGTCCAAACATTCTTAAACTTAGTACTTTCCTGAAAGACACAAGGAATTTCGATTTAGCAAATAACTCCTAAGTTTCTACTGTGCACCAATTTTAAGTTGGATAGTTACATTTACAGTTTTCAAAGTAATTTCATGTACGTTCTTAAAAAAACATTATGTTCAATTCTTCCTCACTCTGCCTTCACGTTTTGGCTTAAGTGGGGTGACCAATTTTTAGAAAAAAAACTGTTTGCAATATGACATAAGAAAGTTAAAAGTAAAAGCATGTGCCGGTTCTATTAAAGGCTATTTACTAATCCTCCAGGTTCAAGGCCTGGATCACCCTGCCCATCAAGGGTGATCTTAAAACGGGGCTGTATTGCGTGAAAACTGCACCCCTGCCGGAAGCTTGACTCCCACCCCTAGCCCCACCCTCCGCCAATGGCCCCGCTGCTCTTGGTTCGGCTCCCGGCCGGCGGGCGGTCACCTGGCACACCAGCGCCCGCAGGATACCCAGGTTCGTCCTCTGCACCACGCCCGCGTCCCGAGAGAAGAAGCCCAGCGCCCGGCGACTCAGCCTGCGGCACACGTTGCGCTTCTGGCTTGGGCCCATGGAGGTGCGGGCCGGTGGCGGAGTTGGCAGGGCCCAAGAGGGGTGCGCCCCTCACTCCGACGCTGGGCAGGAGCCGCTACCTCCGAACCTCCAGGCCCCAGCTCCCCGAGGGGCCCAGGAAAAGCTGACACCCGGAGCCGGGCCGGGGGCGCACGGCAGTGACGCGAGGTTAGGCAGAGCCGGCGCCGCCCGAGACCGGGCAATTGGGAAGGAAAAGAAACTTCCTTCCTGGCTGGCCCCTCAAACGCTCTCCGGCTCCGGACCCGGCGGCCGGCACTGCGACGACCGTAACGCGCGGTCGGCCGGAGCCGTTCCCTCACTGGGAAATGTAGTTCCCAGTGCCCTCGGAGGCATCTTGACTTCTGTCCAGAACTACAACCCCCACAAGGCAGCGGGGAGCGAGCGCTTGCCCCGGCCCCTCCTCCAACCGGCCGCGGCCCCGCCCGGCCTCGCCTCCTCTGGCCCCGGCGGAGGCTGCGCCGTAGGGCTGGCGCGCCTTTCCGGCTCAGCACGCGGCGCCAAGGGAGAACCCTGGGGGCGCTGTGCTGCAGCCTCTTGGTCCCCGTTACCTGTTCAAGCCCTGCGTTCAGGGGTGCGTCCCTTGCCGCCCCGGTACCCTTACGTCTCTCAGCCCCCGACTTTTGCTCTGAGAGGCCCTGACCGGGCGCCGAGAGGGTGGCGGTGTCGTGTGCTACCGCCCCTCTCCCCCGAAGGCAGCGTCCAGTGCTAAAGAAAGGTACGCCCTCGGCTTTCCCTTCAGTCACGCGTTGGACGTTGTGGATGAGGTGTACGGTTAAACCTTTTGGGTCCATAAACACTATGCTTTTGTTATTATGAGTTAGTGGTGAAGGTGCTGGCATTCCCACCAAACTAGAGTTGAATTATTTTCCCGGAGGCCCGCCCTTTTGTGGTCCGCAGAGACGCAGGCTGGTTTTGCGATAATTGCTGCATTGTCCTTACTCGCCTTTTTTTCCCCTCCTTATCGGGAATGAAATATGAAATATTTACATTGTTATTGAACTGCCTAGGGTACTCCACGTTGATTCCTCTAAGTAAAAGATAACTTTGTGACTAGCCCTGCCTGTAGGGTCAAGGTTCCTGTCATATCCTCAAGGGCTGGGTCATTGAGGATATGACATTCCTACCACACTAAGGTTTCAGTAATCATGCACCAGACGAGGGCCCTTGCTTTGCTTTTAAGTGCCTTGAGGGTGGTGTCTTTGCATCTCCCACGTGGCCTCTTGTTCAGACGTGGGCTAGGGAGTGATTGCATTTGACTGACAGAGCAAAAAGTACAATACTGGGTGAGTGCATTGGTTTTAAGTGTTTAGGAAAAATTTGTCATATCTCTTTTTAACTCTGCTGAATTTCCTTTAGGGCCTGGGCTTTTGCTGATTTTTTTCATGACTTATTTACAGCATACTGTGGAGTGCTTTGTATATTTTTAGAGAGCGCTATAATAGTTAATTTGGTAATTCATGAATGCAGCTGTCACTGAGAAAACGAACCCAGAAAAGATAACTGGGTTTTCTTTGGCGAAAATGAAATTCAAATCATTGCTGAATTGAATTGATCACCTCTTTTTTTCTCCTTCCCCTTCACCCCAACTTGTTTGTCTCCCCGTGGTCTGTATCTCACCACCAAGTCACCCAAGGGACAGTCATCCTAGATGCCCTCTTTTCTGTCACCCTCAACCAAGTGCTTTTGATTCTGTTATCCATCTCCTCTTCATATCCCCCCCGGAGTAATTTAGGGCCTCACCATTTTATCACATTATTATGTTAAGTAGCCTCCTTTCTGCCTTACTTAAATACTTTCAATTCCAATCCTCCTCACTGCTGCCAGAGTGATTTTTCTAAAGCACAAATCTGTCATTTCCCTATTTAATCTTTCAGTGGCTCCCCGTCACCCAGAGCAGAATTTCTCAAACCTAAGTAGATACCTAGGATTCTCTATGGTGAGCTTAAAATATGTTCGGTATAAATGGTTGTGCATTAAATGAAGCAAAACTATAAAACAAATAAATTCTGATGAATGCTTATTTATTGTTAACAATGAGACTGTTTTTGCTGGACCTATCATGCTCTAAAAAGTAAACCTTCACTGTCCTCCAGGGCATAAATTCCTTACAGAAAGGCCTGTCCGCATTGTCCTTGTGTTGAGAGATTACTCAGTGACTTCACCTCTTTATTTAAACCAGTGTAAAAATCTTCCTTTGTTCATTGTGTCATGATTTCATTTGACCTTCACTTGACAAATATCATTTACGTAAAAGTCTCCATGTCTCTCATTAAACCTGTGCCAATGATAAACCACTTGTTTGCCAGTGCAGTCCTAAACACAAACATGTGAACTGAAATCTTGTGACAGTACTGTAATCAATTAAAAGGTAGTCATCCAGGTGATCCAGAGTATCCTTTTGTTCAAAAAATTTTTTTTATTTAGATTTTTAACAAATTAAAAATAAAACGTTTCTCTAGAGAAATCTCATAACCTCGAGGCTACATAATACGAATTTCTCGAGGTCAGTATAGGTGCCTTATAGGACAAAATCTGAATGCCTTAGTATAGTATACAGGGCACTTTACTATCTGCATCTTGCCCACATTTTCAGCTTCACCTTTGCCCGTCCTTCACATTTGCTGCTTTTTTTTTTTTTTAGAGTCTGTACTTCTTAAAAAAAAATTATTAACTTATTTATTATTTTTGGCTGCATTGGGTCTTCATTGCTGCCTGCGGGATTTCTCTAGTTGCGGTGAGCGGGGACTTCTCTTCGTTGTGGTGCGTGGACTTCTCATTGTGATGTCTTCTCTTGTTGTGGAGCACGGGCTCTAGGTGTGTGGGCTTCATTAGTTGCAGCATGCAGGCTCAGTAGTTGTAGCGCATGGGCTTATTGCTCTGTGGCATGTGGGATCTTCCCGGACCAGGGCTCCAACCCGTGTCCCCTGCAATGGCAGATGGATTCTTAACCACTGCGCCACCAGGGAAGCCCCACATTTGTTCATGTGCTTCTGACATGTTGCCTACTTGCTCAAGCCAGGGTGCCTTTACATTTAAAATTTTCTTTGTCTGGAGCACACTTCCTTTCCTCTTATCTGTTTATCTCAAGACTCATCCCAGGTATCACAGCTCCACTCACACACTTTTCCCGACTCCTCCATCTTCTAACATGTTAGAAGAGACAAGGCAAGTTATAGCCTTGCCTCTTCTAACACGTTACTCTGCATACACTGGTTGTGGCACTATATTAGAATTGTTGTTTGCCTGTCTTCCCAACGTTTGTGTTTAGAGAGGTCCATTCATTCATTCAACATACATATGCAGTAACCACATTTTAGGCAGTGTGCTAAGGATGCATATGTATGTTGAATGAATGGGCTATTCTAAAAACAATGTTGTACAGATTCTGTTGTCAGCAACTAAGTACTTTTAACATAGAATCAGATTTAGTCTTTATTCTTTAAATAAGTAGGAAACCACAATATTCATAAAAAGAAATAACTTTTTAAAAACTTTAATCCCTTGTTATAAAGCAGAAACTAACCATTGTAAAGCAATTATACTCCAATAAAGATGTTAAAAAATAAAATAAAAAATAAACCTATGGGAATCAATCAATCAATAAATAAAGATTCTTTTATTCACAAACAAACAACAAAAACTTTAATCCCTAACAGTTCTACCTATAAAGTAGATATTTTCTTGTTGAAGGTAAAATGTCATGAATTGATATCCCTAGGTTAAGATTTGGAAATGACTTCTCTTAATTTGGGGCATAAAACAAACATTAGTTCTTTTTTTTTTTTTTCATTCTGTGTCTGTGTGATGTTTAGAGAATACTTAACCATCCTTGCCATGATACTTTAAAGACAGAAAAGAGGACATGTGAGTTCAGAAGTTAATAAAATGCTTTTTGTTCACATACATCATTTAAAGAGGCATAACAGAATAAATGTATAAAACACTCTGGTTATTAAACCTGAACATTTGTTCAGAGACAAAGAAATTTGAACCAAGGCCACAAGAGGTCATTCATTCAACATGTAATTATTTTCATCTACAATGTGCCGGCAGCTATTTCGGCATAGGGTATAACAATGAACAGGGAACAAGGTCCTCACGTGTTGGGAGAGATAGACAATACATAGATTTTAAAAATAAGATTTTCAGGTAGTGATAAAGTGCTGGGAAGAAGAGAAAACAGAGTGATGTGCTCGACAGTGAGTGGTTGAGAGCCCTACTGTACCCAGATGGTCAGGAAAGGCCTCTCTGAAGAGTGGAGTTTGAACTGAGCCCTGAATGATGAGGATGAGCCAATCTGCATGAACTAAGATTAGAGTAGTCTAGGCAGAGGGATGCTCCAATTCAGGGTCCCTAAGGCAATCACAACGTTGGATTATTCTAAAATTATGAGAAGGCTAGTGTGATTCTTTAGTGTGCATGAGGGAAGTGAACTTGCCAAGGTAGGCTGGGACCAAGTCACATCGGGTATAAGGAATTTTGGATTTTATTCTGTTGTGATGGGAAGCCATAGGACACTTTGAAGAAGGAGTGTAATGTGATCTAATTTGTTATAATAAGGTCATTGTGGCTATAGTGTACTGCAGTGGCACAAGAATGGAAACAAGGAGATGGTGGCTGTTGCATTGGTCCAGATAAGAGATGATAGATGGGGGCTTCCCTAGTGACGCAGTGGTTGAGAGTCCGCCTGCCAATGCAGGGGACGCGGATTTGTGCCCCGGTCCGTTAGGATCCCACATGCCGCGGAGCGTCTGGGCCCGTGAGCCATGGCCGCTGAGCCTGCGCGTCTGGAGCCTGTGCTCCGCAACGGGAGACGCCACAACAGTAAGAGGCCCGCGTACCGCAAAAAAAAAAAAAAAAAAAAAAAGAGATGATAGATGGACTAGAGTGGTGGCAGGAGAGATGGAAAGAAGGGAACAGATTCAGGATATATTTATTTTGAAAGTAGAATTGACAGGACTTCTGATGTAGTAGATATTAAAGATGAAGGAAAGAGTCAAGTGAAATCATGATAAAGCAGAACCACAAATCAACATCCCCAAATTCCCCAGAACAAATGGAAAGCTGGGAAATACTCACGATGTGCTGTCAATGAAAGATGCCAAGATTTCATTAAATGTACACATTAGCATTATAGACATTAATGCTGGAGAATGTTAGGATTTGTTCTATGGCTGGGGCATGTGGGAAGAGAGGAATAAAATCAGGTCCCAGAAGTAGGCAGGGGTCAGAGCATGTGAGCCCATGGCAATGTGATGGGAAAAATCTCTGGAGTGATATTACATTCCTTTAAAGAGATAGTTAGGTACAGCATCAGGACAAGAGTGAAGTAGAGAGACCAGTTAGCAGGTAATTGTAGTAGTTCAGGTGAGAGTGAGTCACTTTTGGAAATTTATTTTGAAATTATTGAGGCTTTTAACCATAAATTTGGTTCTTTTATTTTTTCTCTGTATATTTTGATGATATATATCTGAACATGTAGTAGATTCATTCATATACAAAGTTCAGAAAGATTTAGGTTTAAAGGATTGATAGTAAAGTTTACAAACTATTCCTCTTATTTAAAAAAATATTTTAGGCGTGAACAGAGCCTGCAGGGCGTTGGTGCGCCACGGCTGGCCGGGAGAGAGTCCGGGGAGGGGTCTGGACCTGCCGAAGAGGCAAGAGACTTTTACGTCCCTCTTTGTTTCCTGGTGCACGAGGAGAGGGGATTAA